GCACACGCACACGCACACGCACACGCACACGCACGCACACACACACACAACCCTGGGAGTCACTGAAGCAGTGAGAATCCTGTGCCAAAACACTACGGAAAGATGCTAAATTGACATCGATGTGCTTCTTGTCTCTCCTCTCCTCCGTCAAAGGAAAACATGTCAGGCCTTAATGTGTCTCTCTCTGTCTCTATGTCTCTGTCTCTCTCATTCTCTGTCTCTGTCTCTCTCTCTGTGGGTGGTCGGTGGGTACTCTGGTGTGGTTTGCTTCTTCTTTCCTATCAAACATCTATTGTCCTTATCTCCCCTCCTTTTTTATGTTTGTTTCTCTCTTGTAATGCCTCTAATCTTCTGGCACTCATATGACCTTATGCAGTTGCGAGCGCCATAAAACCTCTACTAAAACAACATCTCTCTCTCTGTCTCTGTTTCTCTCTCTCTCTCCCTCTCCCTCCCTCTTCCTCTTCCTCCTCATCCCAGCACTAAAGGACAGTTACCATGTCGATGTGCTTCTCGTCTCTCCTCCACCAAAGGAAACCATGTTGGGCCTTGATGTGTCTCTTGTTTGTGTCTAGGTCAACGGGAGTCGCCGGACGGGGAGCCTGGTGACGTAAGCTCTCCCCTGGTGCACCGTGGGCCATTTGCCACTTACATTACCACCACCACCACCAACACACCACAACAACCACCATCACCATCACACCCCCGCCACCACCACTTTCCTCATCCCCTTTGTCCTTTCTTTTTATACATGTTTTTTTTTGTGTTCATCATCCTCTTCCTTATCCTCCTCACCATGATCATCACCATGGCCATATACTGTGTTATTTCTCCACAATATCATTAACATTAGCATCATCATCAGCATCATCATGGGGTACTATTTCTCCTCAACATCATTATTATCTTCGTCGTCATTGTGGTAATATGCTGTGCCATTTCTCCACATCATCGTCATCATCATCATTGTATAAAGAAGGTATTTAAACAGTTAAGACCTTGTTGTGTTTCCAGAAAATATATATTTTACACAGTTGAACGTTTCGCCCTCAACGGGCTTCTTCAGGAACATTCACGGAAATAACTGGCAAGAATCTAGATATACACAGGCTATAAAAACATCATCATCATCATCATCATCATCATCATCATCATCATCATCATCATTGTAGATAGCAGGGAACAAAAAAAGGGGTTGAGACTTAATGGATTTTTCAAATTTAATACTGGTTCAACGTTTAGCCCTCTAAAGGGCTTCGTCAGGAACACGATACAAAAAAATAATGTAAAATCTGATGACTACAAGCTATAGCTACAAAAGTGCGCGCATACATCATCATCATCATTTCATCCATTTCCCCATAATCATCATCATCCATTTTCCTCACATTATCATCATCATCACCATCATCATTATCATCGATGTCATAAACGCTGCCCCTTACTCGACAACATTTCCTCGGCTGTTTGCGTTTACGTGTGTGTTTGCGCGTGTGATTCGCATTGGGACATTTTTCCGCTCCATCTGATAGCTCTCTCTTGTCCTGTGAGTATGGAGATTATAGGATGCATGTTTTTAAAAACAAAATGCTGCCTGTCTGCTTTGTAGAGCTGGTTGGCATTCTAGGAGACGCCCTATGATGAAGGATCTTTCCGGTAGTCTTGGCTCAAACTGTTTGTTTTTTTTTTTCTTTTTGTTTTGTTTGTTGTCCCAAACTAATTTTCAGAAAAACTCTGCTTGGAGATATGTGAAGGGTTGTATCTAGTGAATGGATCTTTTTGTGTTTGTTGATTTTGAGGTTTGAAATTAATACTGATAATTATAATAACAACAAGAAGGAAAAGAGGCAGACAAAGAAGAGGAAGAATGGAATTGTTGAAATCTACCTCTTCATTTCAGCTTTCGGTGACCAGTTGTTTGGCATTTTGTTTTATGCGTAAACACAGGATAGGGACAGGATAAAATACGACATCAAAGGAAAAAAGACAAGTGTTTATTTTTTAAAATGTTTTTGCCTGAAATGGGGAAACTTCTGATATTTGCAGTAAACACACACTTTTGCTATCGTGGCAGTGATTATAATTATAAAAAAAAGAAAAGAAAAAAAGAAGATGCAGTTATTCTATAAAAGTTTCTTCATTGGGATGAGAGTATTAGTTCTACATATACAGTGGATGGGTCTTGTGAAATAATTTTGGTAATGTCCCTTTTTCTCTTCCTCGTCCTCCTCCTTCACACCTCCTCCTCCACTCCTCCTCCTCCATTCCTCCTCCTCCACTCCTCCTCCTTGTTCCACCACCACCACCACTGCTGTTTCCATTTGCAAAACTGGTATTGCGTTGTCGTTTTTATTGATACAGCTTCACTGGCTACCAGTTAAATATAAAACTGACTACAAAATTGTTCTTTTCTGTCACAAGTGCATGAACAACTAAGCATCATTAAATCTTAAAGACGTTATTAAGTTGTATACCATCAAAACACTTGAGGCCTTTATATGAGAATCCTCATGGCAGTGCCCACTGTAAAGTCTTTTACGGTGGGTGGAAGAGCTTTTTCTTCCTATGCCCCTAAAATCTGGAATTCCCTCCTAAAAGAAATATGTGTATTATAACAGAGAGAGATTTTTGATTTTTTTTAAAAGTCTAAAGACACATTTAAATTGAGTGCTAATTCTGCATCATAAATATGGCGCTTTGAGCCTCTTAGGGATTGTGTGCTATATAAATTACCATAAATATTATTATTATTATTACTCTTATTATTAGGCCTATCATAATAATAATTATTATTGAAAAGCCATATAGTTTTGAGATAGAAAAACGACCTGGCAGAACTGGGCTAAATGCCTGTCATCGTCTCCTTTTGCTGCTTCTTGACTCAAACATGATACTAGCATCTGTACTAATACGGTGTTACTAGAACTAGAGCTGACGGAATGAGGTAGTGTCTGGGCTGAGCCTATATTTATATATGCCTTGTGTTTGTTAATCTCAGTTTCTGGGAGGAGGGGTGCTGTCTGTCTGTCTGTCTGTCTGTCTGTCTATCTGTCTGTCTGTCTGTCTGTCTGTCTGTCTGTCTGTCTGTCTATCTCTGTCTACCTCTGTCTGTGTCTGTCTGTCTGTCTGTGTGTGTCTGTCTGTCTGTCTGTCTGTCTGTCTGTCTGTCTGTCTGTCTGTCTGTCTGTCTGTCTGTCTGTCTGTCTGTCTGTCTGTCTGTCTGTCTGTCTCTCTCTCTCTCTCTCTCTCTCTCTCTCTCTCTCTCTCTCTCTCTCTCTCTCTCTCTCTCGCTTGTCATGATGAGTTGTTGGCAGGTGCTCTGGTGTGGTTTGCTCCTTAAAAAGTACTGTAGAACTCTTACTAAAACAAACCTCTTCTCTTCCATGAGAACAAGAACATTGTCACATCCTTAGCGTTAAAGAAAACCGCCAACGTTTCTTTGTCCTGTCGGAGATGGTTGTTAAATTTTGCCCAACTCTTTGCTCATGGAGGACCATTGTGTTCTGGTCATGCAACATGGCTTGAAGATTTTCTATATTGGGGCACTTTAAAAAAAACAACCCCACTTTGTTATTTGTATGAATTTTCAGTTCCGATTTTAGTTGTCTGAAATGTTAAAAGACGCGCAACAATATTCATACTATGATATATGTATGTGTATATGCAAATTTGTGTTTCTGATTTTTTTATGATAGTTTGAAACGTGGCCAAGATAAAGGGATTTACTCCTTCCCTATTAGATCAGAAGGCTGTGTGGCTAAGCCAAAGGGTTTTGGTCTGCTGTTGATCGAACATATTATCCGCAGTCCTTTAAAGAGTTAGGAAATTTGACAGTTTTGAGAGGGTAATTAGATTGAGCAATTTCCAAATGCTTTAGTTCATACCCATAAACAAGCAAACAAACAAACATATATCCAAACCCACCACCAGCCTTGAGTCACACACACACACACACACACACACACACACACACACACACACACACACACACACACACACACACACACACACATATTGGTTTGTGTAGTTGCATGTGGAGGACGTTCGGTTGCTCTTTGCTTTGACATCTGCCGATGTCTTGGTGTGTCATAGTTGACTGTGTGGCTAAACTAAAGGGTTAACCTCTTCACTACCCGACCAGTAGGCTGTGTGGCTAAGCTAAAGGGTTAACTCCTTGCCTACCAGCTAAGACTGTTTTCCTCTCTGTGACCAAGACAGTTTGGCCACCATTTTTCGACCGAGCTATGAATTAATTATTAACTTTCTTTGTGATATTAACCGGGTCATGACAAAAGACTTTCTGTTAAGGAGTTATGTTTTTGTGATGATTGCCATTATAAGCTGATGAGCTTAGCCTTTTATTTTTTAATTGAAATTACTATTATGCATCAAAGATAGACTGTGAAATAGTGTATGAAGAGAGAAGTGGGTTGTTGGAGGGTGCTCTAATGTGGTTTGCTCTTTTTTTCATATCAAACATCTGTCATCCTTGTATCTCCTTCTTTTTTTTGTGTTTGTTACTCTCTTGTAACACTTTTAATCTTTGGCACATTATAATCTTATTGTGTTGCAAGAGCTACAGAAATTACTAAAAGAAAACGAAAAATGAATAGAGGTAAAATATGTAATGGCTGCAGGTGGCTGGAGGACGCTAGTAATAGGTCCTTTTTTTCTTTCCCTCTATTGTTTGTCTCTGACTGTTATATCTTTCCTCTGCCCTAAATGATGACCGTTGTTGTATGGATTTGCTTATTTCTATATATAAACAAAACTAAAAGGATATAGTGCAAAACTGTGCTTGAATTAAACAGATGTTGGTTGGTGGGTGCTGTCATGTGATTTGCTCCTTCTTTCCTATCAGACATCTGTCGTCCATTTCTCTCCTGGTTTTTTTTTTGTGTTTGTTACTATCTTGTCACGTATCTAATTTTGGCACATACATAACTTAATTGTGTTGCAAGTGCTGTAAAGCACTTATTTAATTCTTTAAAAATGCAAATCAGATGTTGTAATATCAGGCATTTGTATCTTTTTCTTCCTCATGTTCTTTGTGTGCGCTGGTGTGTTCGTGCGTGCGTGCGTGTTCAGACTGCCCCCAGCACCAGTGCGTGAGGAAGTACATCGCGCAGCAACCGGATGAGCTCAACATGGAAGAGTCGGATGTGATCAACGTCACTCGCAAGATGGGCGACGGTGAGTCGTGCACACAGATAGATGCAGTCACACACACACACACACACACACACACACACACACACACACACACACACACACACACACACACACACACACACACACACACACAAAGAAGAAAAATTGTGATAAATTTAAGATAAATAGTGACAAACAAACCTTACTGAGTCAGATGTTTTATAATCAAAATTATTAGTGATAAGCAAGATAAATATTGAGAAACAGAATAAATAGTTATAAATAAACAAGGTGAATGATGATAAACAATATATGTTAGGTCTGATCATTAACAATCAAGATAAATAGAGATAAACTAGATAGATTAAAATAATATTGATGACAAGATAAATAGTGATAAACTAGATAGATTAAAATAATATTGAAGACTAGATAATTAATGACGTACCTGTTAAATGCTTCTGAACAAGAAGTATCGGGGTCAGATCATGTAGTAACATAATTGCTTGTTGTTGTCGTGTTCAGGTTGGTGCGAAGGAGAGAGAATCCGCGACGGGGAGAAAGGATGGTTCCCCGCCAGCCACACAGAGGAGATCAACAACAGTCACGTGAGGGCCCGCAACTTGAGACTACGCTACCGGCTCATGATTGCCTCCTCGCAGGAGTACGCGCCCGTCGACTACAAGCACTGAGCCTATGTGTCTCTCTGGATGAGCCTGTGTCTGGTTGAGTATCGATCTTGATGAGCCTGTGTCGGGTCGAGTATCGATCTGGATGAGCCTGTATCTGGTTGAATCTATCCGGATGAGCCTTTATCTGGTCGAGTTTCTATGTGGATGAGCCTGTATCTGGTTGAGCCTATGTCCGGTTGACACTCTGTGGTTGAGTCTATCCAGATGAGCCTGTATCTGGTTGAGTCTCTATCTGGTTGAGTCTCTATCTGGATGAGTCTCTATCTGGTTGAGTCTCTATCTGGATGAGTTTCTATCTGGTTGAGTCTCTATCTGGTTGAGTCTCTATCTGGATGAGTTTCTATCTGGTTGAGTCTCTATCTGGTTGAGTCTCTATCTGGTTGAGTTTCTATCTGGTTGAGTCTCTATCTGGTTGAGTCTCTATCTGGTTGAGTCTCTATCTGGTTGAGTCTCTATCTGGTTGAGTCTCTATCTGGATGAGTCTCTATCTGGTTGAGTCTCTATCTGGTTGAGTCTCTATCTGGTTGAGTCTCTATCTGGATGAGTCTCTATCTGGTTGAGTCTCTATCTGGATGAGTCTCTATCTGGATGAGTCTCTATCTGGATAAACCTTTATGTGGATGAGCCTGCGTTTGGTTGAACTTGTATCTGATTGAACCTGTATCTGCTAAGGTCTCTATCTGGATGAGCCCGTATTCAGTTAAGTCTGTATCCGGTTGGGCTCTATCTGGTTGGGTCCCCTGTCTGGATGGTCATCTCCTTATAAGAGCCTCTATCTGGACCAGACTCAATTCTTTCTCTTTGTTATTCCACACTGGTGTATCTCAACTGTGAAGGGAGGTGTCAAATTTCTCCCCTGTGTTGAGGAAAGTTTTCGTAGAAATGTGTGGCTCAGCAAAATATGAGAAATGAGAGACGGCGAAATGTGTGAGAAGTTTAAGTGTGAGAAGCCAAAATAATATGTGAGATGTAAATGTGCGATGGCTGAAGGTAGACTTATAGACCACAAGAATGTTCTAGTTCTGCCGTGAAAGATAAATGCTTAAATTAAGTAAACTCTGGTGACAGTTACAGTTGTTACCCAGGATCAAGTGCTGAGGATGGAAGATGTCTTTTGTTTGTTCAGCCTTATTTTGCTTATTATGAGCTTGAGAAAACCAATGATATTGCTGGAAACTGATGCTATGTAAATTTGAAACATGACTTATGATTTTTTAACATGTTCACCCAAAAGTTTAAAAAAGTGAATCAAGCGTTGTTTGTTCTGCACATATGGTGTGGTGTTTATCTTTTTGGTTTGATGTAAGTTGAGAATGACAGGGAGATGAGAGATGTGTGGGTGTGTGGGCGGAGTCAGTGAGCTGTCTCTTCTGGCGCCTCATTGGTCTTTGGCGGTTCTGAGAAATTGATGTACTGAATGAGTAGAACTTTTACCTGGGACTGCAGTGAAAGTATCTTAATGAGTGTTGTCATTTCTGTTTGGATATGCAGACACCAATGTGTGTGATTTGCTTCCTCTTTCCTATCAAACATTTATCATCCTTATCTCTCCTCTTGTATTTTTGTGTGTTACTCTCTAGTCTTTGTCACTGATATGACCTATTTGTGTTGCAAGTTCCGTAAAACCCGGACAAAGACAAAGACACCGGTGTCTAATTTGTGGACTTCCCTATTTGCTTTGTGGGTTGTCAGTAGATGCTTTAGTGTGGTGTGGTATGCCACTTTTTCTTTTCATTGTTACCTTCATTCTGATTAGTTCCTGGTACAGGTGATTGGAGGGCCCCACTGATAGGTCCTACTTTTTTTCTTGTTTCTGTCTATGTGTTCTTACTTTTTTCCTGATCTAAATGACTGTTATTATGTTGATGTCCCCCTCTGTACTCAGACTCAGAATTGTCGAACTATGTTTGAGAGAGGGTTGTGGTGTTTTGCTAAAAAAACAGAGACTCACACCAATGTGAACAGCACCCTTCTTAAAGCTCAAGCCTGGACAAGGCTTGATATTCATAGTGTGCATAGCCTATGACCAGTAGGTTGATGATCAATGGAATGACAATTGTTACTGTGTGTGTTTATGTGTGTGTGTGCACGTGTGTGTGCAGGGGGGGAGGGGGGGTGGTCTTCAACCTTCACCACTTGTTGTATTCACTGTGTATGTTAGGTACAGTAGTTTCTGTATGACATTTTATTTCTTTGGCGTGACTCAGTCCCCAACCACCTGGCATATTGTGCCAGAATGATTCTAGACTGTTTGATTTTGTACAGTGTGATGACTTTAGGAATGAATCCTGCTTTATTATTGACTTTCTTTTTCAAGAGTAGAAACAATCTTTATCTATAATGTCAGTGTTATGCTCTAATCGTGTAAATGGCTTCCTGTAATTTCCTCATAATCTCCCTAAAAAAACCCATAAGTGGTTGGTGAGAACTCTGGGTGGTTTGCTCTTTCTTTCCCATTAGATAACTGTTCTTTTTGTCTCTCGTTTTTTTTGTTGTATGATTCTAGCACTACCTGTAATCTTCAACATTGATAATATGACCTACTTGTATTGCTAATGCCGTTTAAACTCTTGCTTAACTGAATCCCAGTTTTTATTGAGGACCCACGGACTGACTTGGGAAAGGGTTCGATAGGGAAGAAAGAGTTGACCTGTTTCTCCCAGTTACATGATGTGAGCATAACACTGGCAGTATATGGACTGATCAATGTAGGACTCCACCATACTTCATTTTTGAAAAATGATGTTCGGGCAGTCGATATGAGCCTTGATGATAAAGGAGAATGTTAACATTGGAACATACTGAGACAAGTACTCATAAGCTCATTTGACTTTTTAAAGGTGTTAATAGATCATCTGTTTGTAGCGGTTTTATTCAAGAAGTAGGCAGCGACTTTGTCATGTGTTGTTTATTCCCTCTACTTTTTCCCACAACGTTTGTCCTTTTCCTAACTTTGATGACCCACTTATACATCCTAGCCTGCAAATATTACCATGACACATTTGAGAAAAGAGCTCTTTGTTGGAAGAGATGTTGAACCGCAAATAGAAATGCTCAAGTGTATACTTTGTGCCCTCATGAATTTGTCTGTAAACCACCTATCTTTTCATGACTGTTTCTGTGTTCATGAGGTCAAGCTATGCTGACCAGAACCTGAAGTGTCGTGCTTACGCTCTTTGCAGTCACATGTAAAAGGCATGAGGCTGTTTCCCAAGCGGAGAAGTTTGTTATCGAGTATCCCCTTCTGTTTGCTAGGAAGTTGTATTCCTGTCAGCCTTGACAGGCACATACTCTTTGATGTTAACTGTGTGGATGGGGGCCCAAAACCTTTACAACATCAATTGATTAATCAAGCTGTGCTGAAGTTTTTAAATGCCTCATAGCTCCAGGTACATTTTCTTATAGCTGTATGATGCAGTTGTCAGTTTACAGTGCATTCTGCTTCAGCAGAGCATGGTAGTGACGGGTCCTCTTTGTACAAATACATGTAGTTACTTATTTTCCTTGTTTAGAGAGTTGAAGAGATCACACTTTACTAATTTTACACTTTTATAACGGAGATTGCAGTAAAAATTCATCAGTTTCTTTGAAGCACTTTACAGGTTGTAGATATTACTATAGTTTGCAATGGCCTTCACTTGCTGAATGTCTTTGCTGTATTTTTTTTCTGATGGTATTATTATTGTCCGTCCGCATAGTGGTGTTTTGCCTGTGTGGCTGCGATGCGGTGGTGGGGGTTGGGGTTACGTGGCTTTCACAAATAATGTTTGTTTATGCATATACCACTGGGTGGATGGAGTGTGCTCCTGCTGGGTCTTATTCCTGCTCTTTCCCTCTCTTGTTTCCGTTTGTCTGCCCTAGCACTAAATGAGTGATGTGTCATTGATGTGCTACTCGTTACTCATACAAAAACTGAGAGCCTGACTCCTCTAGCTGTAAGATTATTATACCGTACAGTATTCCGTACTGTCGTCTGTGATGTCTGCTGGAGAATTTCTCTTTCTAGACACTCCCAGTGGATGGTTGGCGGATGCTCTGGTGTGGTTTGCTTTTACTTTCCTATCAAACATCTATCTTCCTTCTTTTTTTGTGTTTGTTAGTTACTCTCTTGTATGACCTTTTTGTGTTGCAAGTGCCGTAAGATTCTTACTAAAACTAAAACACTCCCATCTGTAGTCGGAGGGTGCCAGTGGGGGGTCAGACTTCTTTTACTTTCTTTTTATTGTTTTTGTTACTCTGTCTTGCTCTTTCTCCAAACAAAATAAATGTAATTGTTTTGATGTGCTTCTCTTTGTTCAAACAACAACAAAAAAAACCCCAACTAGACACCACCCTCACTCCCGCCCCCAAGGTGTTTAGGTTTTGTCTTTCACTGTTCTAGAAGTCTGATTGTGTGTGTGTGTGTGTGTGTGGTAGCCTATCCGTTCGAAATGTTCGGAGCCCCGAAGAGTGTGCTCTTCGCCAGGGCCACCGCCTCCCTTGGGTCTGATTGTGTTGTAATCATTGTGTTATCATAGATTGACTGAGATGCCAAGGACGCTGCTCGTTAAAGGAAGCCTCTTCTTTTCTCTCCCACTGTCTGACTGGCTTGGTTCTTCTCTGCGCTTAGTGATCATTGTTGTGTCGATGTTTTTCTCTTTACTTACACTGAACGGAATTGGGAGATGATGAGTCTGAGTGTAAACGGCGTGTCACTGGCTGGGCACCAGACTCGGACATATGCCAAAAGATTGCAAAATGGCAGGGGTTTTTTTTGTCTTTGCCTCCAGCCATGGGTTTGTAGAGAACGTATTTATTTCTTTACCTACTGCTTCTGTCATTCACTTTGTCAGTCTGAAGGAGAATGACATCTACGAAACTGTACAGACCGCTACATGTGTTCTTTGTTAGCATGGCTGAGTCAGGTGAGAGATGACTCGCCCAGACTCACTCTACTCTCTGACCTTTATGTAACATAGAAGGATGTGACTTACATCCAAGGTCTTGTACATAGAAGCTGTTGTATTGTCATAATGTTTTGTTAATTTTTTAAAAAGCATCTTGTAAACTTATATACCCATTTTGATGCGTGCGTATTGTGCTGTGAGATCATCAATCATTCCTGTAGACTGCAAGCTGTGTAACTCTAGAAACTGTTGTTGGATTTTCCAATACTCTGACTTGTTTACTCACGAATATCATGCCAAAAGAGGAAGGGAGCTTGTTCCTGGCTGTTTGGAAAGTGGTGCAAAACGTCATTCTTTTGTCTGTTTGTGGTTGTCAAGTACGAACATCGCACATATGCAGGCACGGGCGCGTTTTGAATTTCCAACTGGAGAGGATATTTAATCAAACATGTCCGTCTGTCTGCTTTATTTTAATGTTGTATCCCAGTCTGTCAGTCGGGGTTTCCCTGACTGTCAGGGCGGGTGGTTGGCGGGTGCTCTGGTGTGGTTAGCTCCTTCTTTCCTATCAAACATCTATCGTCTTTATCTCCCCTCCTTCTTTTTTTGTGTTAGTTACTCTCTTGTAACACCTCTAATCTTCTGGTGCTCATATGACCTTATGCGGTTGTGAGCGCCGTTAGACCTGTACTAAAACTAAACTAAACTGACTGTCAGGGTTGAAGCAGCCCATCTTGTCAGTGATCCAAGTTGTCTTGCAATTATTTACCCGTGGAGGGCGCCACTAATAGATCCAACTTCTTTATTTTCCCCTCTTTGTTTCTGTCTGGCTGACTGAGTTTTTCCCAGCACTAAATGACCATTATTGTGTTGATGTGATTTTCTTTACGTAAACAAATCGGACTGTCTTGGGCTGTTTCAAGTGACTGTGGTGTATGTCTGGCAGTGAAAGAGTTGGACTTCTCTAACAGTTCTCCTCTTTATTTTTAACAATTCAATGTCCATCATCATCTTCTGTTGCCTTTTGTGCCATGTTTAGTCTTTGAAGTCAGCAGTTCATATCAGTTTGTGCAGAGCCTGGATTGTCCAGAGTCTGTTGAAATGTTTTGTTTATGAAGATATTGCAGGGCTTGTTTGTTTCTTTTTGTATTCGGTTGTGTTGTTTTGTCTGTTTTTGTTTTGTTGAAGTATAGAACTACCATGACTTCATTTATATTTAACAAACTGGGTATTGTACGTTCATGCTTTTTTCCCTTCCTTTTGTACACGTATAAAACACTTAACTGTTTAACACATTGAACTAATTTTAAAGGCAAAATATACTAGAATAGTGAAGTAATGGAGCCACTCATAAAGACAT